ATATACAATATTTATATACAATTTACAAAATAACACTATGAAATAATTCAAACGCTATAGATATCACGCTGCAACCCGATAATTTCCTATAGTCCAGCAACTACCTCCCTATCTATGAAGCGAGGCTTCTATTACACAGGAAGATAAGCTGCTGGTAGGGATCTATAACAAAGTTCCAACTATACAAATCTAATTCGTTTTAAATCTACCTCTGGATTTTTAATACCTATATGTTACCAATTCCCTGATAGCGAGGTTTTCAGAAAATGTGGAGATCTATAAGTACCCAGAGTGTAATACAATTTCACAACTAAACTATAACGACATTATATCCATGAAGCGAGGCTTCAGTTGGAAATACTTACTTTGGCCAATTATTATTTTATACCTATGAAGCTAGGCTTCAATTAGATATCCCTCTATGTATGAAGCTGGGCTTCTGTTACATAGAATGACCTGGTCCCGGTGGATTCCTCTGCAGACTGATAAATTTTGCTTTAATCGCCGTATTTATACCTGCTTAGATGATCGCTCAAGCATGACTTTATTTTCATTGGCTGATTAGAATGATCATTATCACTGAGACGATTATTATGTTATATGATATAAAACGTTCATTGAAAATACGTATACCAAACGTATATTGTAAAGTACCGTAAACTAAAATATATTGTCGCAATATAAACAAATAACATAATAGATATTTAACACTAAAATCATTTCAGTAAATCACAACCTCTATTCAAAACTAGCTTACTATAAAAACTGCCAAAACGTTACATAAGCTCCTATAAATCTTAACAGATGTTTAAATGGGGGCCAACACGGACAGCTGACCAGCTGCGTCGCTCCCGCCTAGTCCCGAGACAACTCGAATCCGGTCCAGTCCCACGTGACCTGTCCAATCGAGGTCGTATTCAAGACATCAAGCTGCCAATCGTTTTATCATCATTAAAGGACGTAACTTTTAATGCATGTCAGCGCACTTGACAAAACAACCGTCAACGCAAACGACCAACGGCTTAGCTTATGAGAGAAAAGTTACGAATTTACTTTGGGAACTTGGCATCAGTTCGTCTTGTAGATACTTAAATGAAAATTAAGATGTTAGGAAAGTACACAGTAAAATATCCTGGTTTTATTTCAAGTGTTCATAACATGTATTGAGATGGCCCCTCAATTTTAGCGTAACTGTTCTTCGATAATCGTCCCCGACATAATGTCGCAAATGTCTAATATTATAAGAAAGTTTAACTTTGAGTTCAGAGGTCATCAATCATTCGAAGCAGAAGACAGAAAACTCATATATTTGAACAAACTAAGCAACGCTTAGTAGATATGTTATTCTGTATCATATAATTTTCTCATCTCAAGCGTCAGTGAACGACCATGGGTTTTCATTATAAATTGTTTGTTTAGTGAAGGGTATAAGAAATGAACGATGATTCGACATCTACAAAAGTATTGTTTCTGAAATCTCATTTAGCTATAAGTTATCAAGATAAATATGCCCCGGACTCAGTTACATGTACACCTGTTTATAACCATTTTTTTTTCATTTACGTGCTGCCCTACAAAATGTTTTGGTAGACATAACTTATGCAATTGTAATGGGTTAAATTGTGATTTCATCTTGTTCTGATTTGTAATACAACGATAATTATAACGTATTGGTAAACTGATCTGGTTAATGTTTCGTATTGTAAGGACTATTGTTTGCCGCAATATTCTTAATTGACATTTCTTTTATAAAGTAACAATGACGCGTTACGGATTAGGTAAAATAATAAATGTAGAAGTAATGTGGATCTTTTTTATCTTTAGTTTATGAAAGGGGATTTTTTGGTTTGTTTGATTTGTTATTTGTTGTTTTTAAATTTAGAAATAGACCGAACGTCAATACAAGATTGATAACAATCTAAGTCAAGCTCTCAACCTTAAGAAATATGAATATTGACAGGAGGACAATACATGAGACAAAAGCGGGCATACCAGTCATAAGAATTTCGCCAATCCCGATTGTTTTAATTGTTCATTATTGTTAAATGCCAGCAATGATCATATTAAAATGCCCTTTTCACCAAATAGTGTTAACATTGTTTTGGCCCGTTAACTGTTGGAACAAGTTCATTTATATATCTAGACTATAAATTTTAAAAAGCAATACAAAATGTTATATACTGGTTTAGCTAATTTGTTTTGAGTTTGATACTGAAATACAACTGGACTGTTCCAAATTCAAAGATTGGTAGCCCGTATTTTTATTTTAGCAGTTTAATGATAATCAATACTGTACTTATAAAAACATCCATGCAAATTATATTTGGAAAATTAGTTTAGGTGATTTTTCAAGTTTTTTATACTGTTGTAGAATTATACAAGAAACTTCGAGATAATATATCAGGTAAAATTTAACTCATCTATCTCAACTTTTTCATGATTTGTTTTTTAACCTACTTTAAAAAGGGTACAAAAAGCCAACAGAAATGATATCTAGGCCATCGTAAGGTAGCATAACTATGTTGAATATTAATTGATTAATAGACTGGTTGGTTTTACGCTGTTTTTCCCCTCCATAGCGGCTCATCAAAACTTCTCCTTTACATTGGCTTTTAAACGTTTTATGAAAGACAAACGAATCAAGTATTGAAAAGTGTTCTCGAACATTACAGTTAAGATCTTTTCTTAACTAAAATGTGAACCTTTTAGCCGACATATGAGATTTACCAGTTCGAGTTAAGTTCAATCAATTGTCTAAATACAAATTATTACTCAAGGTAATCCTTCATGATTATTATTAGAGTATTTTTGAAGAGATGAATTCATTTTTGTATTTAATAATTGTACAATTGTGCAATGGTTAGCGGACAGATTACACTTGACAATATAGGCAATTCGATCCGTACAAAAGCAATACACAAAGATGAGGTCGATACCAAAATTATTTGATGAACCATGTCGCAGTCGGAAACCACTTTTATCCGTATTGTAATAGGCAGATACAATGAAAAATGAGTTGAATGATTATGTTTGTTCAAACAATTTATGTAATTTTTTAAATAACACTCCCTTTGTATCTTTAAGTATAGTAATTGGTATTCGTCTGTTTTTTCTTTTATTTCGTTCTTTCTTTCTTCTTTCTTTCTTCTTTCTTTTTATTTTTCTTTGTTTCTCATGATACTGTGCCGATGACTTTGATATCTATTGATATGATTATTCAAGCCCTGCTGCAGGATCGTGCCCAAGCTTTCTATGGATAGCTTATGCTTTTCATTTTGAATTCAAAGCTGTATTTAATGTAGTAGGTTTAAAGGTTTATCACGTTTCTATAAATATATCAATGTAAAATATTGGGATACCAGGTCTAACGTATGCGTTGGAAGAATATTGGATAAAATTTGTTCAAGTCGTGTTAAACTTTATACTATCCGTGTATGATTTACTTCACATAGATTACTGCCATCAGTCTCATATATTTTAACATCAATCTTATGATATTTTAACATGTCGTATAAGTAGGTAATAATGGGGATGATAGCTCGTTTAAGGACCGACTCATTTATTTTTCTCTATCTATTAATATTTGTTATTAAGAGCGTCTATCTTAACATTAATTTAGCAATGTTTACCAAAAGTCTTCCACTTACAATAAAAGACGTTAAGAGCATTTTATATTTTGAACGCAGTCTGGGGATATTTAAATCAAAATGTCTCCCGAGCAACAAACTTTAAAATGGATATGACGTGTGAGACTTTAAACGTATTGAGGTTCATACATGGCTTTTCTTAAGAAGATATCAAAATATCTTACTAAATTTAACGCCACAACATTTTGGAAATGCTTTCGTATCGAATGTAAAATGTAATCAGAATTTCATCATTCAGGCATTTAAAACAAATAAACAGACTGACTTTATATAATTCTTTACTGGCAAAGCCACGTCACTTATGTTAGATGATAAACACTTTGTAGTATGATAATTTTCAACAACGCAGCATATATTTCTTAATTCAAAACGATACTACGCACGTCAGCGCAACTGTAATTTTAATTTTATTCATAGGACATACATGTTTAAAATCGGGCATAAAAAGTCTCGACTTTTGCATTTTTATTGACAATGCAGTCAAGAAAATAATGTTATGCAGGTACATATACACATAACCGATATACATGTATATGGTTGACACTTATATTCTAAGAACTGTTTAAACGATAATAAGCAGAAATATAATTTCCAAATACTTTTTCCAAAGCGATAGTACTTTTGACTTATGTCAATGCGAGTAAAGTAACAAAATATTAATTCTGAGTTCAGACTCTTTTTCTTTTCTGATTGCATCATACATGATGCGAAAATGTATATAAACAGTAATAATTTAATAGAAACAGAATGAAGTACAAAGGAAACTAGTAAAATAGTAAAATTGTGTTTTGAATATTGCCCATGCTTTACAAGAGATATGGACCAAATGCTTCTACTATTTTATTTTTGTTTGAGCTGTAGCGATAATGCACATAGTTGGGACGTCCGATCTGTAGCTTTCACACATAATCTCGAATGACACCAATGCATGAATGTTACCCTGATATCTTTATTTCAAAGTATCACATTAGTGAATTACCATAAAGAATTTCAGCACAACATAAGGTATTTGTTCACAAACATAAACGCATGCCAATGTGTGTGGTGAAATCTATTGTTATTCAATAAAAGGTCAGAGTATTGAAAATCCCTACTGACCAAAGTCCTTGGAAGAAACGAACCAAACGGGCTGGATTATATAATACACCCTCTAGGTTTTCACATTTGAAATTCGCAATAAAATACTAAGTGAATAAAACTGATACTGTAACAGTAAAGCTTAAACATCTAAATAATTATGCATTTCTTTTATTTCCCAGTAAATATTAACCCAATCTCGACTTTGTAAAAAAATGTTTTGTGTCTTTAAATGTTTCCATTTAATTCTAATACAAACGTGCTTTTTTATTTCAGACTAATCATGTGTTTCTTGTGCCAGTGTTGTGGTAAGTAAGCAATAAAATGCAATTTATAGGATTTGTAAAGGCTAACAAAAAGCTTTTTTTAGAAACTCCCTCCATAACGACGCTAGATAAAGTCTGTAGTTTGTTTGAACCCTACAAGGGTAACGAACAAAAGTGTACCTTTATGACTAGAGTACTGGTGTATATAAAATATATTTTCCCCAATATATTAAAATTCCGCAACGTTTTAAAATAATTTTTTGATTGATTAAGCAAATAAATCAGTCAAGAAATTTCAAGTGATTTAATTCATTGACGATTCATCAAACAAAATGTATTGGCAGTTGAAATAAAGACACAGAGAGACAAGCATTGTCTTGTGATAATTCAAATATAACAAATCGGACATTTTTTCACGAACATCTTTTAAGATAAAACAAAAGGATAAAATAAAAGACGTAAACTTTTTTTTCTAGATGATCCTGAATTATGTGTCGACACATTGAGAACGAAACTTGGAGACGATGGTAACTATGGCGTATTTTACTTTATAAAAGGCTGCAAAAAAATTATGAATTCTAAAGTATATATATTTATTGTGTATGTATAAGCCCTTTGCAGTTATTTATGTGTGTTTCGAAGAAGAAATTCAACGTTGTCTGGTCATTAAATATTGTTATATGTTATTATAAAATGAGTGTATAAGCGTGATAAAACCACATTAAATCACGACCAAATTTGTTCCCTTTTTTCAAGTTTGCAAAAGTTTATTTAATTGAATACTGATGAGATGGAATGATATATGCGCTTAAGGTATAGATAGAATGTTACTGAAACAGTTAAAATCTTCGTTAGATATTATGCAGCGCTGCATATTTAGATCTACAAGTTCAGTTAAAAAGTATATAAATAACTAAAGCACTTGGGCATTACTTGAAATTAAAGGACTTAAAACTTGTTTCGTTTCATTATCAATTATTGTGTTAATACATGCAAACGTGTATCTTAAAAAATCCCCATCAATGTTAAAGACAAAACATACTTTTCATATTCATAGAAGTACAATACATGGCTTGTTTGCAGTTTAATATGATAATAATACTCGCCTCGGGCTATGATATTTTCAGAACATATCACATCATATTCGTCAGCTAAAAATGTCAATATCTTTTTTTTATTAAATGAATTATCTATTGTATAATATGGAATAATATGGAATATCGAATCTTCTTTAGAATACGACTGATGAGTTATATTATATAGGAAGGCAACTTAAAATTTGTATTTTGTCTAGTTTTGAATACATACTAGTCAGTGTATTTCTAAATGTCTTTCAAATTGTAATATATGCATGAAGGATACGTGGATCATAAGATTCGCGAGCGATTTTTGCATAAGGTGAAGTGGAATGAGGAAATAAACAATTATCAGGGCTGGGAATCAAAACTGCGTCGTATCCTACAAAATGTAAACAAACGCCGCCATCTTGGAAAGAAAAACGTATGTTTTTGTTTATAACTTTTTTTTGTTGAAAATTACTGAAAACCAGATATATGTATTAACACGCTACACTTTTTTCCGCTTCGTTCGGTATATGTTGCTTGCACAACTATTTTGTAAAACAAAAGTTATAGCGAACTTGCATCTCGAATTGGGGCAGATCTTTTATGAAAATGTGTGGATACGACGCAGTTCATATTGCTTTTTCTATCGTTTTTTCTTTTAAATCAATTATATATTTGTTTCAGAAACCGCAATCAACTTCGAAACATAATTTTGCATCATTTACTAAAATTTCATTACAAAGAGATGTTTATTTTCCAAGAAAATAATGATTTTTACGAAATGATACGACGCAGTTGAAAATAAAATATGATACGACGCAGTTGTAGTTTTGGCAGTCTTTTCAACAGGGATAATTTTGGCAAAATATTTCTATTTTTATGGAATAATCACTTGCGCTAGATAAAAAAAAACCAGATCATTTGCGGTGTATAGCAATGTTCTGTTGCTTTTGATTATTTAGAATACATTGTGTCATGTCCAATATAACATTTAATTTGAAAAGTTACATTGAGGAAGCTACTTTTCAGTTAAACATGTTACCTAATTGATCATCATATCTGAAATAATTTCTTATATTTTCCTTTATGCTCAATATTATCCCTATTTTTTTTTTCGCAAAAAAATATAGAAATTTATTAACTTGAATTCATGTTGGCTAGCTACGCTCTAAGTTAACTGTGGTTCTGCATGTTCTGAGTTATGACTGCTTTTTTGTGGTTTGTTTTCAAACTTTCACTATACACATTAGCTTTACTAGGGGCGAGGACTTCAGGTGCGCCTTTGTTCATTATTTCAGGCAAAATGTTGCACCTGCAGAGAACCACCGACATTTTGAAACTAGCTTGATAGGTTTTCCACACGAAAGAATAAAAAGTCCCTTGTGGTTTTCAAATTCATAGCAGTTCAGTTCAAGTGATTTGAATTCAGTAAACATAAACAGCTCGCCCATGGTCGGACACACCTGTCTGATTTGTTTTTTAACAAAATTTGTTAACGTCAGCTTTACAAATTAGCGGCTGTTTTAAATAACTTCGGGCGTGAAGTTATAAGATTATAAATATTTGAATTAATTATAAAGAGAATAACATTTAAATTTCTTATTTCGATATGACTAGCAGAGAAATTTTCAATGTAAACAGGCCCGGCTTTCACTAACATTCTCAAAGTCAAAATCTCAGCTCAAATCTGAGATTTTTCTCAAATCAGAAATTGAGATTGAGATTTATCTCAGTTTGGCTTTCACTAAAAAATATTGAGAAAAATCTCAACTAAAGATTTGAGATTTTTCTCAGATAAATTGAGACAAGGTTTGGCTGTCTCAGATTATGTCTCAGTGAAGCTAAATTATTATCCTCAGGGGTATTTTTACTTTCTGCATGGTTATTTTGATAAATAAACATAATTTGACTTTTTTGGCAATTAAGTTTCTATTATTTTCATGTATTTAGAAATATATATTGACTGATTATTGTGGGTGACATCATGCGCTCTAATTCATGACGTCATGAAATTATGACGTCACAATAATCATACTAAAAATGATTTATTGAATTTTGTTTGTTTTCTCTTGCTGTACATTCATTCTTGGTAACTTATTTTCATTAGCATTCAAATTTTCACACATTTGCAATTGCTTTTTGGTGTTTTTGTTATTGTTTATTTTTTGTTGTTGTTTTTTTTAATAAAACAGGAAAATATAGATCTAGATCTACTTAATGTAATAAATATACAAATATTTCCCTGTTGCTCATCTTACATCAAAACAGCAACTATATACATGATATACTTCGTAAAATAGAAGCTCGATCATCAACAAGGCACATTAAGATAGCCGCTTATGTCTTGAGAAAAAACAGTCTCAGTTGAGAAAATTCTCAAATGTTGAGAAAAAGTTTAGTGAAAGCTAACTTGAGATTTTTCTCAGGTGAGTTAGAATCTCAGTCAATATTGAGACAATCTTAAGTTGAGATTTATCTCAGTTTGAGAACGTAAGTGAAAGCCGGGCCTGGGGGTAATCCTCTGTAAAGTCATTTTCTGAAAACCTTTGTTTAAGTTTTAATTCATTATCAAATAAAAATCACACTTTAGTATGAAGGTATGTTAAGATGCCATGTCTCTAGTCTGTTGAAAATTCGATGCGATAATCTGACCTTACTTTTCTGTTCAATATTGTGAACATTTCTTCAATACTATTGAAAGATCATGTCTGTCTATATCTGTATCAAATTTATCGGTGCACAGCGTAAATACCTTTGCAAAACGGACAGCTTCTTTACAAAAAAATATGTAGTTGTATCATATGTAACTCGATTTTGAGACTTTAAAGTTTTTTGATGGAGAAGAATGATACTTAAGTGCAAATATAAAAAATACATTCCGTAGACCTTTCCCAACGGCGATAAAGAAATGCAATACGTAAAGTTCTCGGCGCTGAACATAAAATGACTAAACTGAACGCATAACCTACTTGCATAAATATATTGTAGCTTAACCATGTATAATATAATTTTAAAAATTTGATGTTCAGTTTCAAATAATAAAGCTCATCTGTTCTCACCGATTATTAAGAAAATGAATACAATAAAATCGGCACTTAAAAGACATAAGTAATTACGGATTTGACGGAAATTGTTGCTAATTACAAGTAACAAAGGAAGGCATGCAATTTGCGCAGAGCTCTCTTCCGATAGCAAGAGACATTTTCAAAATTTGTAATTCTTTCTCCCTTTTTTTAAGAAAAAAAGGTCATTCCTAATTAATACTAGTACAGGGTTCAGGAGAGGTAACACTGGAATATTGAATTTTGTATCAAAAATAGTAATCCATTTCGAACTCACGGGAACAATTTTAGAGTCATGCTAAGGCAACACTGGAACTCGTTGTCATATGGTTGTGCGATCATGTGTTTATTGCACAATGTATATTGCATTTGATACAGTTTTTCGGAATTTGTAGATGCTTAATATGATAGGTACTTAAATGCGATCGAAAAATGCAGCCTTAATAGAATTGTATTACATTTCCATTTTTATGGAACCAATGCGTGACCTCTGCTTTTGACTAAAGTTGTAAACAAGAAATGTTGTTGGACGTTATTAGCATACCTAGCACATAATTTAAATAGTTTAAAACCAATATGCATCCTGCAATGAAAATACAACTGCGTCGTATCATATTTTATTTTCAACTGCGTCGTATCATTTCGTAAAAAACATTATTTTCTTGGAAAATAAACATATCTTTTTAATGAAAATTTAGTAAATGATGCAAAATTATGTTTTGAAGTTGATGGTGAACTCTGAAAACGAGTATTTAATTGATTTGAAGGAGAAACGATAGATAAAGCAATATGAACTGCGTCGTATCCACACAATTTCATAAAAATTCTTCTCCGCTTCGAGTTGCAAGTTCGCTATAACTTTTGTTTTACAAAATAGTTGTCTAAGCAACATATACCGAACGAAGCGGAAAAAAGTGTAGCGTGTTAATACATATATCTTGTTTTCAGTCATTTCCAACAAAGAGAGTTATTAACAAAAACATACATTTTTCGTTCCAAGATGGCGGCGTTTGTTTACATTTTGTAGGATACGACGCAGTTTTGATTCCCAGCCCTGAATTATGCACCTATATAAATTGATTTCAGTTCAATGAAAGAAACTTTTTATTTTCTTTACTTTGAAATATACCACGTCGAATTGGAAAATGCGACATAATTATATTAAAACGGGAAATGAATCTGACACTATTCTGTTTTTAGGTTTGAGCATTCCTCTGGAGCAGAAAAATGCCCTTCTCGAAATTTGTAATGAGATAGAGGTAATTGATATTTAATTTTTTTGTTTTTAACATCTCACATATGCTTTTGTAAATTATAATATCATAAATAATTATTATGACAGAGAAGGCGTAAAACAGCACTTCTGTAAAGCACATATAATTAGCTGTAATTCGATATCTTAATTTTTACATTTATAAAAATGAAGTGCATTGCAAAGTGACATACAAAGAGCTTGTCATTATTTACAAATCAAAAGGGAATCATGTTTTATGTAAATACACTTACTTTTAAATTGCGTTCTTATTTCATTATAATTTGTTAGTCTATTGCATTGGTGTATTTGAGAAAGCATTGACGGTTTTAACGTGAATGTTATAGCGTACATAAATATAAATATATGTGTAGAAGATTTGACTATGAATAATTATAACTGTTCAATGTTAGCAAGAGAAGTGATGAATCTTTTAATACATCAAAAGTTTGATTGTTGTGTAAGATCTTTCCAAAGTACTTTCATATAGAAATATGAATCAACAGTGAAATGCGTATGAGTAAATGTAAAACAGTCTATATAAATTCAGTAACGTTCACTTTGAAAAAAAATATTCCTGGAATCCTTGATAATTCATCTACGTAACAAGTATATAAATCACCAGGCAATCTATTCAGATTTTATAAATAAAAGTATTTTGTTAACCTCTTTACACAGACATAGACTTAATCACATATCCTATCCAATATTATACCATGTACATAAATATCCAATGTAAAAGAAACTGATCAAAATGAAAGGATCTCTGAAATGAAGTAGGGAAATCTACATAAAGAGTATATACCTCAAACACTAATGAAGATAACTGTGTGTTTTTTTTTTTTAAATTGAACAGATATCCACCATTTAACATATATCCGGCAAATGATTATGAGAAATATAAGCAACAATATGTGTACAATAAATATAACATTCGTTCCTGGCAAAATACATTTAATCTCCGTGAGCTTGACATGAGAAGCCTGCAGTACAGTTTGGTGTCGAAATAAGTTTATAAATAAAATATATCATCATATTAAAGTTATTATGAAGCGCTCATATAAATGGTATGACAGTATGACGGAGGGGACCTTACGGAAATCAGTATCGGAACTTCATGTCCCCTCGAAGAATTTCAAGAAAATTATCCAAATATGCATAATAACATTATGATTCTTTAGAATACGCATAACTGTAACTTTCATTTTTTTCACTTTTTGATGTATTGCAACTAAAATTACTTCAAGTCCGTTGTTGTTTGATTATTCATCTTGCTGAAAGGCGTGGACTTTAACGTCGTCGATAAGAAGCAAGTTGAAGTTGTATTCTGTTATTGATATACAGTATCTATCAATTATTATCATCATAACAAAGATAGTAGATATTTAACGGATTTAAGAGATAATGTGTAGAACAATACTGACAGAATGTTGTTCATGCAGTATTACATAAGTCAAAATGTACAAATATAGCTTTTAGTCATAAAGTAATAATAATACAAAATAAGTATACTTATTACAAAAATAGCCTTAAGTGTATGCACTAAACAAACAGCCTTCGTAACAGTTAAAGAGAGACACAGGTATAGATGTTTTTCCCAATTTTGATTGTTTCGTTCATTATTATGTAAATGTCCTCAAAATGAATACACTTGGCAGGAACAAAACGTTTCTCCTTATAAAGAATCAGGGCTTTCTGAACTTGATTCACGTTGGTCCTTTTAGTGTGTAAAGATTTTGCAATAATTGTCACAGTGAATTTGGAAACGTTAAGGAAGATGTCAAAAATGAATGACTTTGAGCTTGTTCAAGTCACATGACTTGTTTTAAAACTCCTCGGTGATTCTGTCTGCGTCCAAATTCCGTTCACATAAAACTAATTAATTATATAGATATATATACGCTTCAAACACAAAATATATAAAATTCTACAGAACTTCATGGTGGTACTTTAGACAATGTCATTTCAGCGTGATTTGAGCACATAAGATTATATTAATATTTAGGTCATTAATTGTCCTAGTATTCTTGTAAGTAGAAATAATAAAGAGTATGCAGGACATAGGATAAAGACTATGTTTTCTACTTTTAGGAAAAGATACTGGATTGCTTTTTGCATAGGAAATTATGTAAGTACACGTGTGTTTCTTTCTGTTTCACATGATTAACAAATAAGTAAAAAAATGCTTCCCATCAAAGTATTTGCTATTTGTATTTTTAGATCAATAGAAACAAGAGACTGTTAAACATATAAACATCTTATATCTGATGAGATAAACATTTGCAAGTTTAAAGTTTAAATGAACTAAACTTTGTAATGGAAGTATCTTATTCAGTCCTAAAATATAAAATAAAAAAACAACAAAAAAACTTTTGACTAAGAAAGCGTTCGTTGTTGTTTCAGATCTGAAGTTTGAGGACTCAAAAGGAGGCGTATTACATAAGAAATACAAAGAGTTTGAAACGTGTGTACTCCAATACGATAGTAAGTAGTACTTATCAAATATTATCTCTTATTCTGATAATTATTAAATTGTGTATTTATTAATAATGTTAATAATTGACCATTTCCATTTATAAACTTACACATTGTTTTTAAAATATTACATATTTCAGGTCTGAAAAAATATCCATGCCACAAACAGATTTTAAAACCAATATGATAAACAAATTTATCCCTTTCACTCGAAATAAAAAAGGATTGTATTTTAAACAATTGTTTGGCATTAAAGTTATACTCTGCTCAAATTTGACATTGGAAAACATTGATAACTGCTCTACAGTCTCTTTATCAATATAAAATAAACATATTTTGTCTTCACACAAACATTATTCAAATCTACATACTATAATGACTATGTTGGCATAATTCTAATATAAAGTATCAATAAAAAATGTCAATTATTTCAAGAAAGAATGACCAACTTGAAATTGACCCGTATTAGGGAATGCAGCTTCCCATTCATAGATCGTATATACTTAATTTCTAATAAGATATATTTATACATAATTTCATAGATGTCAACATATTTGCGAAATAAATATTTCAACTCATATATGAACATAGTATATCTTTAAGGATGTGCAAAGGATGGAACAATTTGACATTTATAGATTGTTATAATCGCCTTGGTTAGTCTTCATTAACTTTAAATGATATACTATATAACATATGAATAAAAAATAAATAAAAATGAAATATCACAGATATATAGAAGTCCCAATCAAATTCAATAACATGATTTTGTTAAATTTTATGCAGAATAAGAAGATTATGTCTTTTCAATTATTTTATCTAAATTGGATAACCCGACATGGTCATGTTGAAATGGTCAGAGCTTAAGTATGAATGCTGGTATCAGGGTAGGGTCATTGTGAAACAAAATACTTAGCAATATTTTTTACACTAAAAGTACAAAGAAAGTTACTAAATAACCAGTATGAAATATCACTTAAAGAGTTACCTTTTATTAATGCCAAAACATATTCCCTATCATCAATAGACAAAGTCTTTTTATAAATTAATAGTTATAGATTGGAAACAAGAAGAAGAAAAATTACGACAATTTTTATTGGAGTATGACAATGCTGAATATGATGGTATGTATTAATTTATGACAGATTCAATATCAAATGTACACAGACTTTATAAATACCCATATTCCACAATTTCTAACATGTTTAGCCGAAATTTTCACGTACGCAATATTTAGCTAAATATATCTATATTCCACTTTAATTTGTAACACATTTTTGCCGGAATTTTCACGTACGCAACATTATGCTAAAATATTCATGATGTTATCCACCTTATTTAAAGCAGACTAAGCTTGCTCTTTATCGCATTACAAATACACTTATTAAAAATAGCACATAATTAAGCAAAATCATATTATAAAAAATAGTTTTCATTTGTTCATTGACTTAGCTAATATTCCGTATTATTTCTGACGATCCTCCTTATTTATGTGACCCTCCTTATTAAAAGCAGATTAAGATTGCTTTTAAAAGCATTAAAATACATTGTGTTTGATCGGTAACCTTTAGGAAAATTGTTTATTAGAATTCACATAATTAAGCAAAATCATTGTATTAAAACTATTTTCATTTGCTCATTTACAAAGTTGGTATTCCGTATTGAATCTTACAGAATTGAGGTTTGGGATAAATTCGATGCCTTGGCTTAAAGTATTCAGGACTCACGGTAAGCATTTTTAGATGCATGTAAGATTTGTGCATACCATAATAGTGAATGTACTTTACATCAAAAAGGGCACGCATCGTCGCATGGAGCTCTTGAGATTAAAGTGATGATATATGAATAATGACATCGGAAATGATATAAGCAAAAGCATAATATAAGAAGACAGTTCCTCGTGTGATGTATCGTCGTGGTCAAATATTACTATTATATGATTCAGAACATGGCTTTCATTGCTGCTTATTTCAAGTAAAGCAATCACGTTATTGATAATAAATCCTGATGATATTATTTTTACACATTTCCCCAAAAGGAAAGACTTACCCGGTGTTTTGGTCCAATTAGTCTCAACGATATACGTATCGTAAAGCTTGTTTCACATAATTTAAAAAGAACTGACAAAAGACGGTCAGGCAATATAAATCGAACGGTCATATGTTCTCACTAGGCTAAACTATCTAAACTACCGGCCACAATATGTCATACCATTTGTGCAAAGTTAGACATAGAGACAAACGGACAAAAATATAGATAAATCATCTGGGTGAAACACAGAAAGACAGTCATCCAGACGAATAGGGAGACGGCCGGACTGACAGAAAGACGTAAACGGATGAGACTACTTCACTATAAGAATCGTCGGGTACAATTCTACTAGCAAACACATTTTAATGTTATATACCTGGCTTTTTTTTTTTTTTTTAATACTTACTTCACATATTTTTTCAGTTTGCTATTGTCATATATTTAAAAGTGTTATTTTTACTGAAAACGTAAGAAGTCACTATAATATCATAATTCATAAACGTACAAAGATGATAAAATTCAAACCTTTGAAATTATTCACCTTGTATAAATTCCAGGGATAAAAGTGCTAGTGTCAACATTATGCATGGAGTTGTAAATTCATACCCTTTATAAGAAGAATGTACTAAATCGAAACGTTTGTTGTTGTTTTTTTTTTGGTTGGTGTTTTTGGAATTTATTTCCAAATTTTGATTAACATAAAATATGCAAGGGCATGAATCAAACACCACTGTCGTTACAGACAGGAATATGTAGCTCTCGGGTAACTCTGAGCTAAAACTCGTTATCGCTGTTTACAGTTATCCTCGACCAAGATATTCTGAGCTATAGCGGCAACCTGTGTATGATCCTTATATTCCACACCCTTTAAAACTTTAAGATCCGGATAAAAGTAATGGACCTTAGTTTAATCGACTCTCACAAGTATGCTCTGATATACTTGATAATCGAATTTATCCCGTCGAAGTAATTATATAAATGTCAAATGCACGTTTACCTCCGGTTCATTTTTTTAGCAAACGTAGTACAAATCTAGAGCAAACTCTTGACATGTTCGTATTTAGTGAATTGGTAGTAATTCTTTATTTTAACTTATTCGTTTGTCAGTTTTTTTAATTAATTCAATTATCATTTGAGATCCGTTACATACTTTTTGCTTGGAATTACATGTAAGAAAATGTAATATACATTTTTTTTTAAGAGCGAAGTATTCCAGAACCCATCAGAAATTGCTTGCATGAAATGTGTAAGGATATAGAGGTAATATATATTTTCAAAACTTTTCAGTGAAATGTAAATAACTTTGTATTAATTTCTTATATAGACATTATGAAACAACGAATACAAGTCACATGTATGTATTTATTGAATATGTTTATTTCATTTATTTTTTTAAATCATATTGAATTTGAGTTAATTTATTAGTTTAATCATATATCTTATGTTATTGCTTTTCCTTTCTAATTATACAAAACAGATACAATGTCAGGTTTAAAAATATGTCAATCAATTATCGAATAAAGTTAAAATATTTACATGAATACTGTAGTTGATCATACAAAAAGCAAAACAACATTATAGAGTTGGCCCTCAAAACATTTAATGACACTAAAATACATTATAAATCATATTTGTTCATATCCCTTCTTTCTCAAATACCTTGGAATTTTTATATATGCTTGAATTAAGTTTGGAACTTATGTTATACCTTTCTGAGCGTATGCCAAGAATATATATATATGCTTTTGACAAATCATTACCCTAAAAATTATATATAATTATATATTAAACTTAAATTATCAGAATAGTCAATCATGCTTTTGTGAAGCATGAACGGAAATAAATGTGTTTTTCATTTCAAATTTAAGTTTGTTCTTTTAGGAAGTACATTACGAGTGGATAGATACATATTGTAAGTACAGCCTTTTATAATTTTATAACGGAATTTTACACGAGGAGTTATTACGTGTAAGACATGAAATTTGTAAAACCAATGATATCTTGTCCCGATTAGATTGCTGATTATTTTAACTTTCTTGAGTTTTTTTTAACTGTCAATTTTATTTGTATATACGCGTATATAATTAATATTTTTTAGGTAATGCAAGCGAGGCAATCATTAGAAGATATCAAACATTGGGACATGATGTGCTTGAAATGGGTAAGTCCAACGCTTCGTTTTGCACATAAATTAATATGAGGGTCACAAATTCAACTTAGGATCTTCTGGGACATTAGGTCATAAGTTAGGCAAGCTGACACCTCTTCTTCTACTGTCTACATTATCAGCCACTATCTCCAGTCATTACTTCATATGATGACGTCACATAGTTAGCAGCAAAACAAAACTAAATATAGTCGCTGTTATAAAGGAGGGAAGTTAGAATGAAACCATGTACATAATCTCAAAACATGATCAAAAGCAGGATAAATAAAATACATGGTTGATGTCGGGATAGAGAAGGCTTATCTGGTTCCCTGCAAAAGTGAAGCCAATAGATACATGTTCTCGCTCACCGGATACACCTTTTCTATCCCGACATATACCATGCATTCTCTATCTATTGGTTGCTAATTTTTCATATTTTGAGACTGAAAAACTTAGATTACGAATGGACGGATCCAAATTCAAATCTTGACAAATTCACTACATGTTTAAAACAGGATAGGATTTAACTAAAGTCATTCTGTATATATAGCTCTTGATGTAAAGACCTACATATCTCTTCAGCGAAATAATAAAACATAAGACACGCTAATAATGATAGCCGATGTTAACATAACTAAATAAAGTCAAATCTGTAGTGTGTATCATCTTGGACAGTTAATTGCAAAAGAAAAGCTATGCTCCGGTTAAGCGGTTTGACGCATACGGGCAGGAGCAAAAAGTCGAATTAGAATTGTTAATTGGAATGCGTCGGTTGTCAAAGTTTGTTTAGCTAGAAAAAAGTTTGAAGGTTATTATCCCCAGCCTTTTCGAAGAAAGAAGGGGAATATAGAGAAAGGCTCCGTCTGTCCGTCCGTCCGTCCGTCCGTCTGTCACACTTCCGTGTCCGGTTCATTACTTTGTCATTTATCAAAGAAATTTGAAATAAACTGGCACAAATGTTGGTTATAATAAGACGATGTGTCATGCGCAACGACCAGACCCCTACCTCCAGGGTCAGTGTCGTACTTTCTAATTAAAGGCCAACATTGTCTATTTGAGGGTATATGTCGTGTCCGTTACATAACTTTCTTAATACTAAAGGGATTTTGTAAATACTTGCCACAATTGTTCAAAAAAATAATGAAACGATGTGTCATGCCCAACAACCCATCACCTACCTCCAAGGTCAAGGTCACACTTGGAGGTCAAAGATTAACATAGTCTGTTATAGGGTATAATTTGTGTCAAAAGAATTTTGAAAATATTTGGCACACATAGTTACTATAATAAGACAATGTGTCATGCACAGCACCAGCATCCATACCTCCAAGGTCAAGGTCACACTTAGAGGTAAAAAATTACCATAGTCTGTTTAAGGGTATATTTTGTGTCCGATCTAGCACTTTTACATAAGTCAAGGGATTTTGAAAGGGTTAAAGTATTTTTGATTTGTAAAAACTTGAGTTTCATGTTCGACCTTTAATTTACTGGTATTTATTATGCTCCCCGAAAAATTTCGGGGGAGCATATAGTCGTCGGGTTGTCCGTCCGTCCGTCCGTCCGTCAGTCCGTCCGTCCGCACGTACATACGTGCGTCCCGAATTCGTGTCCGGCCCGTAACTTTGTTATTTGAAGTCGGATTTTAAAACTATATCACAGAAATGATCACCATATTGAGACGACGTGTCGCGCGCAACATTTGGGTCGCTACCTTGAAGGTCAAGGTCACAGCATGACCTTGCAGCAAAATCGTGTCCGGTCCATAACTTCATTATTTGAAGTCGGATTAAAAAAATATTTCACAGAAATGATCACCATATTGAGACAATGTGTCGCACGCAACATTTGGGTCGCTACCTTGAAGGTCAAGGTCACAGCATGACCTTGCAGCAAAATCGTGTCCGGTCCATAACTTCATTATTTGAAGTCGGATTTTAAAAATATTTCACAGAAATGATCACCATATTGAGACGATGGGTCGCGCGCAACATTTGGGTCGCTACTTGAAGGTCAAGGTCACAGCATGACCTAGTAGCAAAAACGTGTCTGGTCCATAACTTTGTTATTTGAAGTCGGATTTTAAAAATATTTCACAGAAATGATCACCATATTGAGACGCAGGGTCCTGAACATTTGGGTCTCCACCTTGAAGGTCAAGGTCACAGCATGACCTTGCAGCAAAAAGCGTGTCCGGGCCATAACTATGTTACTGGAAGTCGGATTTAACAACTATTTCACAGAGATGATCACCATATTGAATCGACGTGCCGCATGCAACATTTATGTCCCTACCTTGAAGGTCATGGTCATGTCATGACCTTGCAGCAAAATCATGTCCGGCGCATTACTTCGTTGTTTAAAGTCGAATTTTACAACTATTTCACGAAAATGATCACAATATTGAGACAATGTGTTGTGCACAATAATGGGTTGTTTTTACACTTTGAACTTTTTTGTCTGTGGCATAACTCTGACACAACAAGAGGTATACCTTCCTGTGTCCAAAACCTAATCGGGGAGCATCACCCGGTTCAACCGGCTCTTGTTAAGTTTCATTTTACGCAAAAGAATAGCACAGATCGGTTAAGAATTATGTGAAAGACAAAAATGTTTACCACAAGCATGTTTAGACTGTTTAGGATCATTTAATTCAAATTCTAGGTAAATAAAGCAATTATGTTCGTAAACATTATCTTCGTGAATATGTCATCTGAAAACAACATGAATCAAATATCGTTTCACAACTTCTTACGAAAGTTAAATTACAAAAGATATGCTCGTATTATTGTACTTAATTTTATTTAACTCAAATCTCATAATGATTTATGCAGAATGCCAATAAAAGGGTTTGCATAGGAAATGCAAGGCTACAATCATCACATTGCAACTGAAACGCATGTGTATGTCGAATTATATCATATTTCTGACTATGACAAAAATCATCTTATTTAACATAATAATCAGCTAGTATACTTTTGCTTTAGAAATCGTGGACTGGGAGGATATTAGAAAATCATTTAAGCAAATACTTCACGACTGGAACAGAGGTATGTAATTTTGATTATTCATAATCATTTAAAATAAGTTTTTTCATCTTACATTAATCACTTCTGCGTGCCACCGCATAAGTGTCGGTCGAAATTATTACTATTGTTTTATTCATAATTATTGTAAAATTTACTGTCTGATTTCGATAAACAACATATTCTTGGACATAGAATGAAATTTATAATAGAATCTCTTTTGATTAAAACTTTGTAATATTTTACAAAACGACATTTTCCCGTTTGATGAATCATAATTTATTAATTAATATATTTGAATTTTGAGCAGGCATTTGTTTTTTTTAAATGTTTGATTTTTTAATGATACTTGTATAAAAATGAAGCATATGTGTCCAATGTAGCAAACGGTTTATTTCTGATAAATATTATACTAAGCATATAATTTTTTATTTAATTCGTTAAGTTTCCACTTAGATATGTTTATGAACCATAAACAAAGTGAAAATTTGCAGTTTATTATTTCAATAATTTGAGATTTAATATTCTAGTTTAGAAGTATCGTTAGTTGCTGAGAGCAACACAGAAAATAATAAAAACAAATGTAAAGAAATATAAAGGAAAGAGAACAGTTAAACTTTTACTAATTTGTTACATAAAATGTTTCAGAAAATATGATTTTATGTAGTGACTTCTCTTATTGAACCACACAGAAAGACGCCAGAAATGTTTAATATATATTATCTTGGTAATGATCTTAATTTTAGCAGACAAAGAAAGAAACTACTCAACATATGCAAATAATCGTTTTGTAATAAGGTGTTTTTTGTTTATTTAGTAAAAATAAAAAATCAGATTTTCCTCAAAGATAAACAAATATACAGGCCTTGTAAATTTTAAAAGTACTTACACTATAAAATGAACCGTAGAACTTTGCACGGTCAGGCCAAGAAAAAAAGCACACACATGGAAACATACTACTTACTGCCTAATATCTTAATGAACATTTCAAATTAAGCTAATTTTCACTTGCTCTATTGTGAATCTTTGACTGAATTCTATGTCAGCTTAAGAGATTAACAGATACAAAGTTATCGATTCTAGGCTGAGATAGATGGGGACGCGGGAAGCTACCGCTGGGTCTTCACAACGGGAGGTCGCGAATTAAATTGAAGTTTTCCAGATTGTTATCATCAGAATATTGAATTGATTCCTTAAAAATGGAATTGTTTTGCATTTGTTAACCGGATGTCGCGCACGCTTAACGCTTTAATAGATAAAAAAAGACATAAATTAAGATTGTTTGTTATGGCGATTTGAATCGAACACTAGTACATTATGGATACGGTCCTGTGTTTGCGTAATGTAAGGAAGTTGAAAATGTTTTAATATTTTTCTATTTTGTTTTTAATGAAATATCAATGAAATCCAAAACGATATTGTCCGCTACAGTTTTAAAATATAATCAATAAAACAACAAATACGGTCTGTTGTTGAACATGCAAAGAAATGTGTCCTGTTTGTGCTTTTTTTGTAAATCAGTATCACGGTCTAGATCTTTTCACTTGTAAGGGGTGAAAATGTGTAAGCGGCCGGGAAGCTCAGTTGATAGAGCTGTGTTACGGTATTCTGAGGGGTGGTCAGGCTGCACAGTTGAAGATAAAATACACTAAATTTTGTCATTTGAATGTACTGCATCATCTCACAACATTAATATTTGACAGACTTTCAAAAAACCTTTAAGCACTTAATAAAGAACTGATCAATATTGATTGCATTGTGGTAAATAACTTGATAGAAAAGGGGGACTCGTATTGATGTTCTAGTACAAAGCTACACGAATCATTTCTTTAATTTAACTTTCTGTGTTTTTACTTAATTGTCTTTAGTAATAGTTTTACAGACAAATTTACACGATTTAAAGTAATGTGTCTGCGCCAACTCAAGTCTTTTATTACAGGTTCATGATTTGTCGCTGCTTTTCTGTCAGTGGCGGCTATGTGTTTTTATAAAAATGTCGAACCATTCCTAACGTTATTATTGGTCATCTTATATATCGCAAGTTTATACTGCTATTTCATTTGTCATTGAAAGAAATCTCAGTTTGATTACATGAGTTAATGAAGAGTAGAATTAAAAAAACAAGATTCAATTTTTAGAACTTGGCTTTCAAGGCATTACCGTCGAGGATCTGGATGGTAAACAGCACATCATCTATCACAGGTTGTTTTATGAAAATGATATAGATCATCTCGTAAATCAAGTTGTTGATGCAACTGGCATTTCAAAACAAGAGTTTGTACTTGTGTACGGAGAAAGTCTTATTGTTCCAGGGAATAAAAATTTGTGCATACCTGACGGTGCAAAAATAAAGCTTCTTCCGTCTAATAAAGGTATGTAAGAAATGAGCAAATGTAATTATTTTGCAGAAATGTACAAGCTGGTGTGATAAACTAAGACATAATGACATCAGTTGATATATGTACGATGATATTGTAAAAAAATCTATGCAATCAAAGACCGAAATTGCTCGCCTCAATGTTTCAATCCAATCACTGAAACGGCGAATCGGTCATTTGTTGTACATGACGAGAGATATATACATGTATTTTCAATTTTACACTGATATTTTTTTCGTAAACTAGTAAATACAAAATTTGCAAACCATTAAAAATAAACAGTTTAGGATAAAACATATTTGTCATTTGCAATTTGAATTATATGCATGTATATTAATGTCACTATTGGATCAATTCAGCACATCAATAATTAACAGGAAACTTCACAAAACCTCAAACACTGAAAAAAGTGGTTGACAATATTGATTGTAACTATGGTAAATAACGTGTTTTAAAATATTGACGTCCTGTTATAGTTTTATGGATATCAATTAATATACAAATACAGAGTTGCTTTACTTTGACGCAAATCTTTAATCACAGGTTCTTGGCCTTGTCAAATTCTGTTTTTCCGTTATTGACGATTCATGCTTTTAAACAGCAGTCGGGCCAATCGTAGCGTTCTATTTACCATCTTAGATATAGCATGTTGCGTCTGCTACTTCATTTGTCATTGAAATAAAAAAAAAGTTTGATAACATAAATAAATTAAAAGTAATGCTGTTGAAACAATTCATTCCTGTTTTATTAGAACTTGCCAATCAAAGTATTATTGTCGAGGATCTAGATGGTCAACAACACATTATCAATACAAATTGGGTGATGTACACAAAGGATGTTGATTTTCTCGTCAGACAAGTTGCGCATACAACTGGCATTTCAAAAAGAAGATTTGTACTTGCGTACAGAGAAAAGCTTATTGTCCCAGGAAACCATTTCTACATAGTATTACCCAATGGTGCAAACATAGAGCTTCTTCCTGTGAAGAAAAGTATGTACGAAAAGAGCCAATGTTATTTCTTTTCAAAAATTTACGAGTATATGTTCATTTGAAAAACTCGAGGCATTTTATTAATTTAAGAATGTATACTATGCTCATCCTGGAGTAAAATGTTTTTGATGACGCTATATACTTGAATTATTCATATTATTTGCAACGTCAGTGTGCATAATACTGAACATGACATATCTTCTTTGTGTGAATTCAAAATATGTTTTTTCACTACGAATGAGAGTGTGTAGTAATCATCTATATTTTTTAATATCAAATTTGAGCAAAGTATATTCTTAAAGCAGTCGACCCTAAATCCATTATCTTACATGTTCCATGGATAAGAATAGGCATGCAATGAGAGCGGAAGAAACGTTCAAAGTAATTACCATTTCATTTTGCTAATTTGATTAGTTAAATTGGAATCGTAATCTACACAACCCTTACCATCAGTACGTCTCATAATTATCTTAATATTTAAACCGAAAAAGATATTGATATTTTTTCTATTTCATCTTATAAAGACATATTATGTTTCAGACCAAAACCCTCCTACAAACCTCGATACATATGTGAGAGGCCTATTCAATGGCATTTATGAACAGATCAACAGACTATGTAAGATTTTTCTATACGAGGAATGATTAACATTTAAAGGAATCAAAAGATTATTAATTATTTGTTTAATGAATTTACACAAATATACACGTTACATAAACAGAAATCTGTCTCTACATGATACATAACGATTACAAAATGCTGTTGATAGCATATAAATGTAGAGCGTTCCGTTACACGATATTACCTTAAGATTTGAGGTAAACGACGTCACATGCGTATTGTCTGGGTAGCGAAAAGGTTTTCCTGTAATGACGAAAACTTTCATCCTTTCAGCTGTGACTTGATTGCTGGAAAACCCGCACCTGTATCGATCTATAACATGTCTTTAACACGTATACGAAGTAATAAAAACATAATATGACTCAGAACAAATATGTCATTATATCTAAACAAATATAACGCATATCCGATTTTTGAACGTGACTGTTGGCAAAATAAAATGAAAGACAACTAATGATTTTGTGAAATCTATAAAAACTATAAAACAATTTATGCAATTCTAACAAAATATATAGCTATTGATGCACTAACCTTCCTTATTTTAGAATCGTTAGATAATGCACCGTCCAGTAGTTTATGTCACACATCGATGATAACGTTCGCAAGTCAATCAATTGTCTTTTTTCCAACGTCTAGGTGATTGACGTCACCAACGTCCATAAACGTTATTTCTTTCTGGCAATCCCTTCATCGTCAGCGACCCTTCAATTCTTTATCAATCGTTTATGTCAAATCAAAAAATGACTTGTGGCTTACTGAACATTTCCCTTAAAAGTCAGAATATTTTTGTCTGATTCAGACGGTGTCTCATCTTCCTTTTGACAATTATATTTAATTGGTCGAATTTCGAGACGTTCTGTCATAAAATCTTACGCGAATATTATTTAACCAAACGATGCTAAAACATTTATTGAAAATGTAGATTAAATGGAGGCATTTTTTCTCTGACAATGTCATAGACATGATGCGTGACGTATTAGTGTGTTTTAAATCTTTATATGCCATGTCGTAAAATAAACGCAAATACGCCTTTTAGAAGCGCATATTGATGCACCACACCGGGTGTGCGTTGCCATCCTTTTTGGGTTCCCTGTTACGGACAGATAAGATAATGAATCAGTTTATTAGTATAAGTTTTCCGATTAGGTCTAATATGTTACAATAGGTAAAAGGTTAAAAAAACCTTTAATTGACAGCCATAGTCCGGTTTATGTTTTATCATCTTATCAGGGAAACCTGTTTAAAAGTTAAGCTTCCGATATTATGAACAATTATGTGACATTGATAGGCATTTTGTATTGAACACATTATAGAATGATATTGTAAAAAACTATCCTATCCTTTTCTAATAGATACACCGTTAAATGATTATAATAAATAAATAATAAAAAATAAAAATCATCAAGAACATTATTCCGGTTTAGTAAATTATTATGCAGTGACAATCCTGAAAATAAATTTTACCCTTACTAGTATAAATGTTGTTTTTTCTTTCTGTGAATCAGTCATGAGCCCTGTTAAACAAGGAATACTATGAAATGAAATTTGATAAAGTGTTTTAGTTAATTGAGATTCCTATAGTCTGAAAATTTTTACTTTCTTTATTTTTAGTTACAAAATTTCCCAAGGTATTTGAAGACCATACACGTTTACTCTCTGAGAAGGATTTTGTGGGGATATCTCAATTAATAGGTAATGGATGGGGTATGCTTGGAATTGAGCTTGGCCTTTCAAAAGTGAATTTGCAACAGATTACAGAAGACAAGCGAAATGTAGCCTCACGTATATTTGAAATGCTGTGCCAATGGGGTCAAACACAAAAAGATGGAGCCACAGCAGCACAGCTGCTGTCTGCTGTCAGGAAATGTGGTGTAAGCTGTGAATTCGATAAACTTAAAAGAGCCCTTCTTATTGGCATGTGACACAACATTCTAACAATGCTGTAATCATGATTTTTTCCTGTAAATAAACTTTTGACTTGTGATATAAAATATATTTAATCGGGACAAGAGACGAAAAAATAATAAGGAACCTCAATTTCTTTGTCATATATTTGTGGATACATATTTGAATGTCAATATATCACATATAAATTATCTTAATTTATTTCTGCAAAATATCAACTTAGATAACTCATTCGTAAAATTAACATACATTCCTCGTTTTTTATCATCAGGGAGACATTTCTCAATAATATTAATATTTATCAAAACAAGATAATATAGTTTTACTCAGTACAATTACCTTTTATGGAAATTAACTTCTTTAACTTATGATTTGGAACCATGTTTAACGATTATTTGCTTAATTTGTTTTTAATTGCATACTCTTCTTAAGACATTTTTATTATATTAGCATAGCATCGTGATTTAGTTACATTTATATTAGTACGCATTTTCAAAAAATACTTGCAATTGTTCACTGGTCACAGCTACTGTTTAACTAACTTCTCTGTACATTTAATTTCGGTAAATTTGAAGGGCACCTAGGTTGTTCTATTGTTATGTTTCTAGACATAGCCTTTAACGTTTATCAATATGGTTGGGTCAAAATAAATAACAGTATCGGTAATGTTTGTTTTTATCAACCTGTCAATAACATACTGATTACACGGTCAATGCACACAATATACTAATCTTCGATATATTTTCGTTGTTCCGTGAGATGTACACAGAAAAATGTCATTTAAATTTATTTGTATCTGTTGAGTAATTGTACTGAGAGTTATAGCACTATAGGGAAAGCTACTGATTTATACTTTCTAAGTGATCTTCGTGTTGTTAGAACGAGACAACGTAGGTACATGTTTTTTCTTATTTACATTTTCAACATAATTGAAGCTTTGATTGTTATTATGTTATCTGTTTTGCAATGATTTTTGTAAAGTTTATACTCTTTTGAAATAGCATGGTTTTAAGAATTAATATTTTAAATAAATTCGGATTCAAATCAATAAATGCCATTTCAATGACAGAAAACACAATGCAAATCGATACAAACAATGTTTCTAAGTTGCGTCATATTCGTGAAGACAATTATGCAAACACTCAGCCATTTCAATTAAAATATACAAATGTATTGCAAAAATAAAGAGTAGGTTTCAATCATTGACAAAAGCAGGGATCGAATGAAAGACCTCTCACCTATAAGATAATTACTTAACTGACAGTGCTATTGTGGATGTAGCGACAAAACTTACATTCAGCTGGTACGATTTTCAAAACATTAGTCATACACTCTAGTAAACTACGTAAACAGTACCAAAGTGGGATCGACTATTAAAATGAGTGCTATAATACATTTTTAATTGACATGTAAAGAATCAGACCATAACATTATTAGAATGTAACAAAACAAAAATCACACCTTATGATAGTTTGTTGATTTCTATAAAAAAAAGGTGAGATTGTTAACAAAACATGACATTTGTAATCATACCTTTATTTTATAGTAAAACACTCAATAATAATATTTATAAACCATAATATGATTTTATCTTTTGTAAAAGATGAATGCGTCTTTAAGCTATCAAGTTTTTGATTGTGACAGTGTTTGAAAACTTTCAGCATGAAATATGATTTCAATTTATTTTGCTTTATTTTAAGAGTTTTGTCTAAAATTTTGATTTGAATTAGCATACAATAAAAGAATTGTGAATTAACTTTTATTTAAGGTTTAAAATACTACTCGAGAGGGACTGTCACTGTTTCAGAATTTCATTGTACGATTTTGTAAAACATCTGAAAGCTACATTCATCAATAGGAGACTTATAATTTCACCTAAATACAATATACATGTAGTATGCTATACTATCATCATGTATACTGTTCGAAGTATAGAGTACGAAGGCTGTCCCATTAAGTCATAGAGTACAAAATACTGTATGGGCAGCTTAGCATTTTCACTAACTTCCCAGAGAACTAGCGTCAATCATGAGTTATCGTTATTGTGCTTTATTATATAGAATACGTCACTTTAGGACTTTTCTTTTTTAAACATTAGAGAATGTCTATATTTTATTCATAAAACATTAAAAGATACTTTCAAAGCTTTGGAATTTTCAACATACTGATGATAATATTCCGATTAAACATAAATTGATGAATAAATGACACAGCCGATTCTATGAATACATTGTCGATCCTGTGATGGATACAAATAGGGGTAAATGCACGTAATTTTACAAAACGAAAACAAACATTTGATATTATAGCAGTGAAATATTCAGCCCAGTATTTTTCATTAATTATAAACAATGTCAAATTAAGGAGCATTTGTTCTTTTTTTTGGTAATCGAAATAAGCGTACGATATGTTGTTTGCCAAACAAATATATCTTAACAAGATTTGTATACTTCTCATTTGTTTTGTTTTTGCTTTTGTCAAGATGCTTTCTTTATAATTGTTATTATTAAAGAGTATAAAGCTATATCTGATGAAATATTTTTTTTGAAATATAAATTATCTTTGGAAAAATATGTTTTTCCTGCTCATATTGTCGTTTGTCGAAAGATTTGTTGCAAATACTGTTTCTGTTATCTAACACACATGCAAACTTTACGGAAACACAATAACACAATCCGAAAAAGTATTATGCTACGATTTTTGGTAGCCTTTTATCCGTTTAGCAATGATTGCAATGAAACCCTATCTTTTCAAAAGGACATTTACCAACAGATATGTTTTACTTTCATGTTGGTATTGTTAATATTTTTTTAATGAAAGCAAGTAATTTGTAGACTGCAAACAGCATAGATATAGCTTTGTACTCTTCAAATTGTATGTATATGAAATACGTCTGAATAAAACATGCAAACAACAAAAGCATTTGTTTATCAAAAGTTTATTTTTAGTTTTCATCAAGACATATTAACTTGTAAATATGTTTGTCTAAACAGCAGAACAGATTTCCGGGTTTTTGAATGTTAACATTTAAGCAAGATTTTCTCACACGATTACTCTTCAATTCGTCTAATAAATCGACGTCATTATTTTTGTTTGAAATGAAATTACTCGCACACGATATGTCTTTCTTTTCCAATAAGTATCCTCGAATTTAACATAGTCTGGTAAATTTTAATTGATTGTATGATGCAGTACAATAGAATATGAATTATTGCCCGTAAATCTCACGGCATTCTTTAAAATGTCACTGCGTTTTTATTGCGTATTAACTGCTGTTGACGGTACTAGTTTATACTTTTTATTGCGATCTAACGGAATTGTCACAACGACTATTGTGTTGTAAAGATAAAAAATCTAATGAGGGGCATAATTAACAAAACGGTACGAAAATGTGCCATAAAGTATGATCGCAGAACGCTTTATGATTACCAGGATTACTACCTGCCTACATAGAGTTACATAATTATTCTGCATGACGGATACGAACAATGGCTTAGAACGTTCAATGTTCGGTCATAATAAGAAGGATGTGATTAAACTTTTGTTTAAAAATCTGATGAAAACTTTTTAAAGGTAGCGGGAAAATGTTGCAGTTCAGATTGGAAAGTTTAATCAACCATCTGGTTAGCTTAATAAGTAGAGCGTTGAAATGTGAATGAGGTGACCTGAGTCGTCTCTTCACATTTGATGAGATTGATCATAGAGTATTGTCTACGTTTAATACATCAGTACATCTTTTCAGGCATATACATTTGTTATTAGTTCCTTGTGAAATTAAATGCACTTGTACTGAGTATGGTAAAATGCTTGACAGTATGCCAAAGTAGCGATGCCGTGGCTGAACTGTTCTCTGGTGAATTCAGAGTGGTTAAATGCAGTGATCCAGAGGATTGCTACCAAAATCACGACCATTTATATCCATTTCCGAGGTTTTTCGTCCATTCGAGCGGTAACTAAGGTTCATATAGAATGATGTCATCTTAAGAACGCAATTATATTCTTATGCCTAATGGAGGCCATTCTGGAGCCCTCAACTCATATTGCAACTTCATGTCAGACGCAATTTAAGATAAAACTAACGGAAATGCCAGTATGTTATGCTAGAATCAATCGTCTTTAACACTCTCTCAGCGAAGTATAACCGCCGCGACGGTGCCATCTGAATGCCCAAGCAAAGCAGAATGTGTTCGTAATAAAAGCTCTGAAAACGCAATGGACGCAGATATTCTCCAACTTCAAGGTTATTACGACGCAGTAGCATGCCAGGGAAGTTCAATACAAGACTTATACATGAAGATATACATGAGGGCGACTTTGAAAATAAAGTTGTGCTAACGCAATTGGAACGCGGTAAAGTGTGCCTTGGAATTGATAGTGATGCTTGTTTCGGTCAAAGTACTGGAATGGCAAAGTAGCATAAAATAAGATGCATTACAACAACAAATAATTATGAAAGTTAATGTCTGTAATATGATGCATAATTTAAATTAATGAAAGCATAATGTAATGTTGTAAAGATTAGATAGCATTTACTACATTGGGCAATTTAAACATCGAAATACGCTGTGGTTTAAAATATTTATAAGTAAAATACAGTTTTACAATTTATTGTTTGAGGACGAAAATAATAAAATCATATTCCTGTAAGTCTTAAAACTGTAGTATTTTGCTGACTCAAAAATTAATTTAATTTTAAAAACATCAACAATTGTATCGCTTTAACTTGATAAAAATAATGTTTAGTTATATCTGACGCGATATTTTTGTAATAAAATGTAATAAAAACCTTTATTCTAGCTATTCATTTGACATGTATATAATGATTGTTATAAAACTTTTAATATACACTTGATTTTTAGTCATAAAGTAAAGTCAGAATTAAAAACAGAAACTATTTCTGTTAAGTATTAACATAGCGTAGATAAATAAGTATTGATTGCATAATGTCTAACTTTAAATATAGATTACATTTTGCTTTGATAATATTTTGATATGTTTTGTATTAACGGAATTATAAATTAAGCAATAAAAACATATGCTTTGCTAACATTTGACTATGATAGTATTATGTAATGTGACTTATACTTAAATATATTTAATTGTTTGTATTGTGTAGACGATGTATTTTGTACAAGTCTGAAAATAAAGTTTCTGTTCTGTTCAAAAATTAATATAATAACTGACACCTTTATGTTGTCAGGTTTGTTAAATATATAGGAAGTAAAAGATTAAATAAGTTTCTGCTATATTCATCTCTTGTCCTTTCGCTTTCCCCAAGGAATTAATGAGGAATGAAATGATTTGAATCGGTTAATCAAAGCAAATTTGTTCAGCCTTTAGCATATTCAATTAACTTTACATGTATACATTCATATTTTTAATATTCATTTTGTTTGATGCAAACGTTACATAACCAGACAGGGATTTTAGTTGCGTTATGATGCCTCAAAGCTTAAATATGGTTATCAGCGATGTAATGTTAAATTATTTGGCTAAACAGTATGTCTGTTTGTATCATATTTTTATGTTATTTTAGAAAATATTTTAAAATCATTTCATATGGCGAATTGTCAGTTTATTGGTATTAGGATTTAAAAACTAACTTGGATATATACGAACGACCGATAAATTGCCGATTTTATCTTCATAAATTCCGGAGTTTAACTTCACGAATTCACGATTTTGACTTCACGAATTCCCGATGTCAACTTCTTAAATAGTGGGTGGAATAATTCAATAATTTTCTTATTGTCAAACGATCAATAAACACGTCATATTCTACATGTCCTAGCGTAGGTAGCTATTATAGAAACGGAAAATAGAAAAATAACATTTGTGGCTGCTGTAATTACCGTTTTTATATTATCATGATAATGCAAAACACAAGAAAAGAATTACCTGTATAAGATAAAGTTACATGACAATCATTGTTAGCCCTATTTCCCTATAAATTTAGAAGTATTTTATCATTTCTTATCTATTTATTAAAATGCACATAGTCATATTAAGAAATTTAATTAAAACGTGTTTAAAAGTTGATATCAGATATCAAATAGATCTTTCTTTTTAAGTGTATGTTAACGATAATGATAACTTAACATGTATACTTTTAAGATTATCAATATTTATAACAACGTGACATTAAATATTTAATGATAACGTATATGACAATCGATCCCTGTCGTTAATTTTATTGCGAATGATGAAAGACTGTATAATCTCTCTATTTATGGTATCAAATATTTTAAGTCAATAGTTATGCATGAAAGAAAATAGAGAAACGACCTCTTTAGGGAAATAAGATAAAATGGAAAATAAACAAAGCGACAATAGATAAATAACGTTTAGCACAAGACCCGAGCACATTATGTCTGTGTTCATATCGATTTATGAAACAGTTTAACTAAATGTAAAAAGATTCATAATATCAAATACATACAATTTTCAAAGATGCTCTCGATATACAACAACATATACTATTATAGTAAGAAGTTCTTCGCTCACGCCTATCTATTTCCTAGCAACACATTAACGACCAATAAAATGCTTCTGCTCTGCCTACTAGGTTAGTATCACTCTTTATATAATATGTTTTATAGATCTTGATGAATTACAAACTGGATAAAGTGTTCGCTATTTGGAAAACAACTAGGTATGTATAATGGCACACCGTACAATTTTATTCAAGTCACCTGTTATACTCATACGTACACGGAATGCTTTTTCGCATACTATATTTGGCGTACTGTTCCATTCTTTTTGATTACTGTCGGAACATGTAGCATTATTGGCGACGCCGGTGAGTGGCGTCGTCTCTTATGAAATGCTTTTTATTTTGGCCTATGGAAGGAGCTGTTATTATTAGCAGTTAATGTCATGTTGTGTTATTTAGTTTCATTTTGATTCGTAAAAATCAAGTAAACAAATATGTTGTTATATTTGTATTAAATAACTTTATGCAAAAAGCATGTGCATTGTGATATTATTTTCACGAAATTGCAGGCTCAGTTTAACAGCTTGTCCCTTAGTTACTAAAACCAGGATTTCGAATATCGTTGTGGTCTACATTGATGCCGTATCCATTCATTCATTCATTTATATATTTTCAAAATTTTTCTACAAGAAGAAAGTGCACTTGCAAAAGAGCATTAGGATAGGTAATGAACTGTTGTAAACGAATATCCTATGATTTTATCAATATTACGTTTATCTGTTGCACAGAATGATTATTTTTACAAAGTGTACCAGTATCCAGATGTTGAAAGTTATCCGATTTTCTGCAATTACTGCTGTCACATGGCCATCTATTTTTTTATGAATACTTTACCATTAATTTGCATTGCTTAATAAAACTGAGCCTGCAACATTTCATAATTTTGCTGTTTAGGGTGTTCTTTTGGGTTTCAGGTTTTCAATATTTTAGGGGAAGTAGCTCATGTTTACTAAATTATTTGTTCTTTTCTGTCTATCCTAGGTATTACTTACTATTTTTGTTGTATAAAATTTACCAGTTGTAAGTTCATCAAAAGCATGTTAATGTTAATGTTAGGAAATAGAAACTGGGAATTATTAATGTTATGTGCATACATGTATATCTTAGTATATTGATATGATGAGACTTATAATATTTCTGAATTTAAAGAGTTACAGTTATGTCATTATTAATAAAGGGATGAAACTTTCATTTAAAGTTATAAATGATAATACTGATAATGATAATGTATTGATTGAAAATGTCCTTAAACTTGGATCAAGCAATATAATTAATAAAGTTTCAAAAAATCATATTCTGAATAGTTATTCTAATTTTTTTCTAAGGCCCTGTCTACACCTATCAAAGTCTTGAATGCAAGTATCATATTCTCTTGTATTGGATAGTGTAGACACCCTACTTGAATGGTTTTTT